GTAATTTATATACCATTTTATATACCACAGAGGAATATATTTGCATAGTCATAATGAACATACTGTATATGCATGCATGGAAATATATCTGCATATGTGATATGCCAAAATGTATAAATGTACATAGATATTTCCCCAAAGGAATTTCAGCTTCAAATTCTTACAGAATTTAAGCCACTAGAAATAAGCATATCTGCAGAATCTCCTCAGAATGAAAGAAAGGTAAACTTGCTCAAAGTTTTAAGTTATATTTTGATACTAACCATTTTCAGTAACTGCAAGAGTCTGAGCATCTCCACTCCCACAGGACACATCGATGACTTTGAGCCCTTTCAGCCCCGTGACCAGCATTGGGATGGTCTGGTCTTCACTTGAACCTTCAACACAAAGTAGTTCTGTCAGAAGCAAAGTCCAGGAGGCCTGACACGTTCTTCTGGTTAGTTGGTTGGTTTTGGGTGTTTTGTTATGTGGGTGTTGGTTTGGTTTGGTTTACAGATTTGAGCTCCTCTATGGTTTCTAAGGGATCTCATACAGATTTAACCTAGTAAATAGCCTTAGCTTCACAAGGCAGAGAACAGAGAACACTGTAGATTTTTTTTTGCTCCTTATTTTCAGGTAACTCATAGAAATTTTAGTGGGTTTGAGACAACCCCTCCCATGTTTATTTCAATTCATGTGAAAGCACACAAGCTTCTCAAATCAGCTTTAGCTAAGTTGGATCAAGGATCACTGGAGACAGGCACTAAACAAGGCACCAGGTAACATACCATGACCAAGCCTGCCATAGTTCCCTCGCCCCCAGGTGTAGAGCTCTCCCTCAGCAGTAATAGCTGCACTGTAGGTGCTTCCACAGGCAATATGAACCACATGTTTCCCAGCTTGCTTCCCAGACAAAGCAGATATCATCTTGGGTTCCTCCAGAGGGCTGTTTAAAAAGAAGGGGACATGTTTCACAAAAGGTGATCTGAGGAGTACCTAATAAAAGGTGTGACAAACTGGTTTGAAACAATTGCTGCAATTCTACCTTTATTACTAGTCAAAAGTATCAAGATATAAATATTGCTACAAGCCAAAATTAAATTCAGATTGTCCAACAACATACAAACCACTGAAGGAATGTTTGATAAGTGACTTCTCTTTCCAACTGAATTCATGCAACGTTTTCAAAAAAATATGTGCCTATTGTTAAAAAACTATCCACAGTTACTCTATCTGAACAGTTAATTTCATGACACTGATAACCCTGGTATAGCATCTCTTTTGCTTTACAGGGAATTCAGCACTGGGGGAAGACACCTAAAATCTCTGAAACGCATTGACAGACACCCCACACACAACAGTGCTGGAGATGACTGCTTCTACACAAAAACAGGGCAAAAATGGAATTGTCTGACCCACGGGAAAAATGGAGTGATACACAACATGACTGCACAGAAACGATGATCCCACTCCAGCATGTGAGCCAATGTCCCACAGAGAACATGCTGTGGAGCCATAAATCCATGAACAAAAGTCCTAAGAACAGTGCAAGCACTACTGTACTCTGTCTACAAGTATTTCAGAAAGTAGCCTAAATACAGAACTGGGAATATTACAGAGAAAACACACAGGGAGAATGCAACTTCAGTCCAGCAACCCAGACCAAATGCTGAACATGCTCATAGACACCACAAAATCATTTCCCCCATGAATTCAAAACACGGGAAAAGAAATGTTAGGACAGTTTTTAATACATACACTGTATCCCCATGGCCTAGTCTTCCACCATCTCCACAACCCCACGAGAAAACTTCACCATTTGCTGACAAAGCCAGATAGTGATGCCCATCTGAGTGTGCTGCTATCTTCACAATGTTCCTGGACGCCAGGCTCTGCACCAGCTGTGGGCCCTGCCAGCCAACAACAAACAACACACTTACAAAAACTGCTTAGATTTTATAGTATTTGCCTATATGCAGAATAACCAGGTACAGTTTTCCTATGGCTTTATGAAAACTGTGCACTCAAATTAATGACACGAAGGTATAAAAAAACTGAAAAAGGTCAAATCCACTGAGTCTGAGAAGAGTAATGCTTTGAAGTTAGCTTGTAACCATCCTTAAAAGGACTTCAGTGTGCATGTAAATGGTGTTCAGCTGTCCTAGTGACAAATGCTGCTGTTACAGTATAGGCTTTTTCTTGAGAAACTGCACAGCTTGGGCACAGTTACATCACTGAAGTAAAATCTATTTCAGATCTGCCAATTTCTGAAGCAGTTACCAAGGTCAGCATAGCAATAAAAGCAATTATTATTGTATCCATAACCTCTAGCCTGAGAGAAATTACAGAAACCATATGCATTTCATCAAATCAATACAAGAGACAAAAAACACTATTTCTGAGAGCTCAAATACAGCACCATCGCAGCTCACACAAATCAGGATGTCTCCATCTGCTCCTCCAAGAAGCTGTAAATAGTTAAAGGAGCAGCAGTCTTATGCTATGAAGTAATATAGAAGAGCACAGATTTTTAAAACCATGTCAAAAACTCTCACCAGAGTATCACTGTTGTATGCTTGTGTATAAACTCTTCCATTTCTAGACAGGATCAGAAAACGTTTCTCTGCACAGGCGACCTGGACAACACCAAGGTTGGCCAGACCCTCACACTGGATTGGGCCACTCACATTAGCATAGTATTTCCAACCTATTAATCCCCAGGCAATGACCTCTTGCAGTGATCCCTGGAAAATAAGAAATTCTCTAAGTACTACTTTTCAAATACAAAACTTAATAAAATGCATAGAGCAGATTATTTTTTAAACATTTATATGCCAAATATACTCAAATGTCTGACAGTCATTGCTGCCAGTAGCCAATAAAACCTACCTAATTAGAAGATATCAAAAATACAGACTGGCACACATCAAATTCAGTTCAGGCTGGTACTGACTAAGCTATAAATATATCTACAGTATCTGTTCAGAGATTTTTCAAGTTAGGGAGTTTAGCATTTACTTTTTTCTTTATCTTTTTTAGTATGTCAGACCCCCAACATTTATAAAGTCTGGCCTTGAGACTTTACTCTGAAAAATACAGGGAACATCTAAAAATTAGCAGACTTAGATGCAGTTTGATAAGAAAGAAGAGTTCACAAACCACAGAATTGGATTTCAAGGATGACTGAAAAAGGGCTGAGGTGATAAAGTCTGGAAAACATGTCATATGAGGAAGGGCTGAGGGAATTGCATTTGTTTAGTCTGGAGAAGAGGCTCAGGGGTGATCTCATGGCTCTCAGGTGGGAGATGTCTGTCCTGCCAGGGCTGCAGGGAGAGGACTGAGGGAATGGCCTTGAGCTGAGACAGGGCAGAGTTAGATTAGATGTTAGGAATATTTTTTTCCCCTCTTAGGATGTTGAGGCCCTGGAATATTGCCCAGGGAGGTGGTGCAGTCACCATCCCTGGAGGTGTTTCAGAGGTGTCTGATGTGGCACTGGAGGGTCTGGGTTAGGGTTTAGTGGTTCCAGCAGTGACAGGTTAATGGCTGGACCTGATCTTGGAGGTCTCCTCCAACCTTGATGATTCCATGACTCTATGATATAAGATACCCAGGTAACACAAGCATAGGCCACTGAAGGTTACCTTGTGAAAATCAAAGAAATATGAAGCACCTTGGGAGGTGTTTTCCTTCCATGCTGGAATCACAGTTATGCTTTTAGGGGAAACACGTTACTAAATGTGAGATTGCAGACAGTTACCTTATGAGATGTAGGAGAGCTGCACTGTGGGGGCATACATGGGGTGGCCAGACGGTCCAAATGGGCCATGATCACCACAGCTGTTTGTCTGAGGTCGATCGCCAGCTCATTGTCCTGTGGCAAAGTCAGGTACCTCAGGAAACTTTCATTTGGACTTAGAGGGTAAGTCAGGAGCTAGGAAAAAAAAAAAAAAGAGCAGTTAGAAGAACATTCAAGGTGTATCTATCCCACAACACAGAGATACACGATATATTTTAGCCATGCTGAGTATCTGCACAAGTTTAAAAGAAAACAAATGACCTCTGAACATAATGTTTTGTACAGTAAACTTTCTTAAAATGCCAAACACATGTTGAGAAAATAGTCAGATTAATATAATAAAACTGATTTACTGTGTTTTATCCACTTCAATAATATTCATTAAGAGTCACAGTTCAATTAACTTCAAACACAGTGCTTACCTCTAACCACACTATGACATTCTTCCTCCTACCTCAAGAAACTCAAATGAAAAACCAAACAACAGTAGTGTACATACATCTTCCACAGAAAACAGCACTACCAGTTTTGTTTGGATAACTTTATTGCAAAGAGGCAAATGAAATTTGATTCCAACATAATGCTCCTTCCAAATCATCCAAGGGTCAGTACCTGAATCTCTTCCTCAGTATTGGGCATGTCTTTATTACATATTATGCTCTGAAATCTCTGCAGCAAAGGCAGGAGGGGTGCACTTGTTCCCTGTGCAGATCGCTCGTTATCCGTTTCCCTCGTCCCATTATCCCAAAGTTGAAGCAACAACATAACTGCAGACAACATTTGGCTGAAAGACAAAGTTAACACCTTCTATTAATAAGCATTCATGAAAACATTGGTTCAAGTTATCCAGACAACTCACTTTCTGCAATTTCAAGTTGGCAATATCAGACATCATTGCTTTTCATTTTAAAGGTCCATACACTTTGAGCCACAATTATTACATTAAACCCAAACCTGTGAAAATTACAGACACTCACAGCTCAGGCCATTCCAACAGACAGTGGTGGTTAGAAATCAGTGGCTCTCTCACCTCAGTGTGCCCCTCTGCACTGCCAGTTCAAGCAATATGGCAAGTGCCAAGTGCTGGTCTTGTAAAGGAATGTTTCCTGGCCCTTTGGTGCTGGGAGCTCCATGCACATCTCTGTTTAAAAGTCAAGCAACATACATTAACTAACAGGAAATAATACATAATTGTTTACCAAAAGCATCTACAACACCCCAGGAACCACTAAACTTACAGAAAAATATAAAATTGGTGATGAAAGCAACCAAGAAGAAAAGCCCAAATGTTCCAGACAAGATCAAGTTTCAGAGTGGCAGCTAGGCTTTAAAATTGCCCCAAGCTTCACTCTCTACTCTATAGCTCTAGAAAACATGCTAAGAACGTGAGAAACATTTTTCACTGGTGAAATGCAAAGGTGTTTTATGATATTCCCCATAAGCATGTAGTTCCAGTATTCAAAAGACAATTTCCAGTAACTACTGTAAAAAGGTAACTTTAAGCCTCCTTAAACAGCAGTGGGAAGCAGACGAGTGCTCCAAGTCCAACATGAACACATTTTCCCTCATGCACAAAAGTCTGCACTACTTTACTGCTCTAGAAAGGCACAATTAAGTGTGCACATACAGTATTACCAAAGCACTCTTCATGTACATACATTTACAGCAGAAAACACCAGTTTTCAGGTAAGCCTACACACAATGGTTCAGAATACTCCAATTCAGATGTTTCTTAAACAGCTAAAATAATTAAATCGTATTTAAAGAACACCACTTTATCAGCTAATTAATTTTTTGCTTGCTTGTCTAACAACATCAGAAAAGGAAAGCCATCTTTAATTTTCTATGCACTATGATGTTTATACCACCAGCTGCTAAGAGTTTGCCACGTAACAGCTTCTTCAGCGACGTTCAAAAAATAAACTTACCCAGTCACAACAGACCTTAGGAATTTAGTAGCTCTTTCTACCACCTCCAGCCACACAGAAGACACAGTCCCTTCATCAAAAAGGGATGCCTCTGGCAGAGCTCGCAGGGCATCAAGAGACTCCTGCAGCAACTCACTGCACAGGTCTGCATCTTCACCTGCGGAGCACAGCAACACTCACACCCCCATCCTCACAAAGTTACACCACTCGCTGGACACAGTATCTTGTGGATGTTTTTCTAACTCAAGATTACAGTTTCCAACTTTCACATGAACATTTTGACTGTAAGATTATGAAGAAGTCTTCACCAAAAAACCCAAACATTCAGAAAGGTGACAACTCTACGACTTTTAAACCAGCTCATCCCACTATGCACCCACTGAGGAAATCAGAAGGACTAGGGCTGGATGGACAAAGAGTGAGCCAACACCAACCATCTGAACAAACAGAGCAGACTGAGACAAACAGGTAGGGCAGAGTGGCACAGGAGACAATTCTGCCAACCTCTGCAATTTGACAGTCGCTGACGAGGACACAAACTATACATCAGTTTCACTCTCACTAAACTGATCTTGCCTGAGGAATAAATCTAACTTTCATGAAATCTGATATTAAAACATACATTCTATTCATGACCTCCCAATTTGCATTCCTAAGCATAAAATATCCCAGCACAGCACAACACAACACAGGTACTGGCTTGGCTGGCTTTGAGCAGCAGCAGCACGGTTGGCCACACTACCACACAAACACAAAATGCAATTATGCAAATCTATGATTTCCAGATGTAGAGTTCTATGCAAATACTTCCCACACCCAGGAGCTGTCTGCCTTCTAATGAAGAACACGTGCACTGAGCTCCAGAGCAGCCCTACCTGACCTCCAGGCTCTGCGCAGGAAAGCAAACGCGAAGGAAAGTGCTGCTCGGGATCCAACTCGGGCCAGTCCTTCTACACCTTTACCTACAGGTCTTGGGCTGAATAAAATCAGATATGCACTGTTTCAATGTAATTTACATTATAACAATATATATTCGTGTTAGCAGTATTTTGTCTAACTTACATTCAACAGTTTTATAATTTAGCTACATGCATGCATACACAATGACACGATTTTGATTTGTAGAGAACTGTAATTGTCTCTGGGGAATGAAGGTGATCAACAGCAAAATGTCAGCAACCAAAATTCAACTTCAACTGCTTCAAAGAACAGGTTCAACATCCAACATCCAAAAGCTTTGCAGAGGCAAAGAAATAAACTGGACCGCTCTAATTGAGTGCCATGAGAGAAATGCACATAGGTACCCAGAGTGACATGATGATGCTGCACTCAAAATACACAAGACATTTCATGTACTCATTATTTACTCAGAAAGTTCAGATGTTTAGCTAATTTGGACTGCATAAACCAGTTTATAGACTATTTCTTTATGGATCTTCAATTACTGATCATTACTTCCACGTATTTTGTCATTTCTTACCTTTTCACTCAAGTGTCAATGGTACAAATCTCTTCCTGCACTTTCTGTCTGGTATGTGTAAGGAAGAGAGATGGCTTCAACTTCCCTTAACACCCACTGGACTCTATATGTATTTCCCTGACCTTTTCATGCCATCACATTAATTGAAGAAAGCTCTCCTTTGTACTTGGCAACAGGAGATTCCCTCCTGCTTCCACCACTGAGCCAACAATTCTGTTCTCTTCTGATGTGAGATTACAAAGAAAGTGAACTGCTTAGGATTTTTTTTTCAGAAGAGAAAAAAACTAAACTGGCATTTTCAGCAATCTGATGACTTAAACATAGCAGTGCTCTTTTTAATCAGAGCTGAAAAGCAAAATTCAGACAACAGTCTATTCAGAGAAAGGTATCACTGTCAGACTCTAATCCCATAATAACTAGTCGTGATATCTACTCACGCTCTCCTTTCATACCTGAAGTTAGAGACAATCTCACATGGCTTCCCTAGCTTGTTCTCTCAGACACCAACCTTGTTCAGCCACTGAACAGTTTCTTTAATGTCTTACCTGATAATTTTTTCTATTTTTACGTCTAGATAGTTATCTAGACATGGAAAACAATCAGTCAATTTCTTATTCACTTGGTTCTCTTGAAATAGCTTCTGCTGAAACATACAATTGCAGCATTTCTCACCCAAGCTAAGGGAAACCATGCTCAGCTTCTATGCAATTGTATTTTAAATTTATTATGTGCCTTAACTGAGCAAATGTTAACAAAAATATATTAATGTCATTTGAACTATGTAACTTCCATCAGCACCATCTCTGAACAGGCTTCTCCACATTTTCTAGCTGAGCAAAACAAAAGGAGCACTTGGAGAAAAGTGTACTCACAGCTCAAAGAATACTAACTAAAGCAATGTGCTACAATAAAAACCTGCCAGTACAGACACACTGTAGAAGAAAGCACTTAAGAAACCATATTTCTTAATGGTCCTTCACTGCTAATGTTTCACAAGGAGGAGTAAATCACATTAAGCTCTCATACACAGGCTGATAACCTTTCTACAGGTTTTCTAATGTAGTAACTTGTTTGTGCACGTGTCATTACCTTTTCTTATCCACAGAAGGCAGAGGAACACTACTGCTTTTCCACTTCACTTTGACATTCTCTTGAAGAACTGCTCTGTTGAGTGCAATGAAGTATCTCTCCAGGATAACCAGCCTCTGCTTTAGCCTCATAGCTGAAAGGGCTGTGGTAGCAGTTTGTGTGGCCAGAGTTTGCTGTTCCTTCACTAGGACATGAAGGCACTCCTTCAATTCATTCACATCTGAGAAGCAGAGAAAGACACCGTTTTATGGGGGTTCATCTTTGCTATATACAGCAGCAAGAAAAATCAAGTCCAATGGAAAACTAAACTGACCAGAAGTCTGGACCTCAAAACCCAGTGAAACTCCCTGTTTCCATGTATAATGTGCACATTTCTAATCACATACCTAAACAGGTTAGCTTAGACAAAGGTTATTATCAAAACTGGGTTTGTGTGAACATATCTGAACTGTCATATTTCAAGCCTGAAATTAAAACATCACAGGAAATATGCATTTAAAAAAAAAAAGTTACACAGAAAATTCTTATCACCATCCAACTTCAGAGTCAGACTTCTTTTATGTGCAGGCAAGTCCCCTGCAAGTCCCAAGGATATGTTTTCATTTTGCACCAATTCACATCATTTTAAGTTCCTCAGAAGTTATAAGGCTACTCTCAGAAGCTCCAGGATCACTGCCAAGAGCTGCTAAGCTTCTGAAACAAATAATGTCAGAAATTTGAGTTGCTTGCAAGTACTATCAGCAAATAAAAGATCTGGCTTATGTACCAACACTAGAAAATTAATTCTTCACTCACCAGAGAAGGTATTCAACAGCCTAAAAGTCCTAGTATTCTATTAACAGATGGCAACAAGTACAATGTCAACAATAACAGCAAAAAAAAATACCACTTTAAAATAAAAATTTGGAAACTGTCTTTTTATATTCTCTGTAGCTTTAATTCCTAGGACCAATAGCAATGAAGTGCATTCTTAAGGGGTTCTTTTCTGTCCCTTCATTAACAGTCTGGTCACTGGGCCACCCCACTCTGCTTTGCTCTGAATTGCTGCACTTGTCCCTAAGCCAACCACATTTGTTGCCTGGCTGCTACACAGAAGTTCCTTTGTTTTAACTCACACCTGACTCAGGGATATGAAAAAACCATATGTCTGCATATATATAACAGGACTTGTGAGAAGATGGACACATTCTTTAAAAACAACAAAACACCACCCCAAAACCAGCAATTTTTTTGGAACAACTGCCTCCAACCTTTTGAAATTTAGACACTTCTATGGCAGTCTCTAGAGTTAAAAATTTTACCTAATGAGGCATAACTTTTTTTGCAACGGTAACTGTATAGATTATTTCACTGCTTTGTCCCCACCCTGCAACACCTCCCTGTGCTCCCTGCAGAGAATTCACCTTCTCTGCCCCATGCACTGCCCATTATGGTTTGCTGCCAGACATCACCCCCAGCCTGTCCTCAACACCAACATCTCACCATTTCACAGTGTGCTACATTCCTAGCCCTGGGGCATCCTTCACCTGACTCTGAGGAACAACTTTTTTCAACAGGAGTAGATTAAAAAGTGTTCCTTACAGTCTAGACTTCTTAAGACAAAAGCCATAGCAGCAATTATACACACTGACTCAAGCAACAAGAAATATGACAAAACCAACCAGAAATTTGACCAAAAGCCACACTGTCCTCAACATCAGCTCTATAAAATCCCCCAAGAGCTCTGTGGCACAGTTGATTATCAACAGGTTACACACATACAGTTTCTCCACATCAGTGTAACACACAAAACAGAAGTCTACCAAAGGCATGTTTGATTTCCTTGGTTTGGCTTTTAGGATGTCCCTTAACACTATGGCCACAGAGGAGGTTACTCTGAAGGTTTAGTGGATGACTGTATCAGTTCCAGTCCAAAGCTTCAGTACCTCCAGGTTGAGCCAACAGAAATTTTGTTTCATTAAATACAATTTTGAGGGAAAAATCACAGTTGAGGTGTTGGCATTGCTCAGAACATCAAAGCAAAAGTTTCCACAAAATATGCTGAGGCTGCTGCTGTTATCTTACATGTGCCTTAACCTTTATTTTGCAAGCAAAAACACAAAAAAACCATTTTGCAGTATGTTCGTCAGGGTATCACAACAGAGCATGGTCAACACTGACATCCCAGTTTCATGATCCCTCTAAGCAAACCATCAGAAGACAAAAATCAAGACTTCTTTCTTCTCTTCCTGAACATTAAAGTCCTATCAACCTCTAAACACCACCAGGCTACAACAACAAAGTATGAAGTGACCATGCTCCCCACTTCACAAAGAGACTTTGCTTCACATTGTTCTTCTTGACAAATTATTTTAGCCTGCAGATTCATTCCCCATATTATGGTCTCATGTACCTACAGGAATAGCAAAGAAACAGTCCATGAATTAAAAAGAAGGCACTTTAATCCATTTGGGAGGAGAGAGGCTGCATTTGGTGCTACAGAGAACAAGCATGAGGTGCTAGACTCAGCAGAATCTGTCAAGTAATACAGAGCTACAACACTCATCCTTCCTGGCTGCAAAGTCATCTAATAGTGGACACCCTCTAAAATTATTTCTGAGAGTTGAAGGACCAGATGTAAAAGCACCTCATTTCAAAACAACACACTAATTAAACATATGTCATGGGCACTGCTGGAAAGAAACACTTAGGACAGGCAGAGACCACCTAGAATCCTCCAGCATTTACTTCATGAGGAGCTTGTCCTACGAGTCTACAACTGCACACCTCTCAAAGCACTCAGCCACAGTGATGGCCAGGTGTTAGAAAGATAAATTACTTGTCAGGAAGATAAATTACTTGTCAGTAGAATTGCCTTGTTAAGGTGTAGGGCTCAGCATGCTTCAATGATCTCAGAGCTGGGGGGAGAGAAGGATCTAACACTGCTAGTGCACAAAAAGAATCCAGAATTTACAGGCCACAAAGACATTGGGCAGAACACCTAAAGTAAGGAAGAAACTAAAAAGCCAGCTCAGCAACTATGCTGAAATCAGCTGCAACTGGATAAAAGATAACTCTGCCAGGGGGAGATTGTGACCACTGACTCAAGAAACCCACTGAGTCAGAAGAAGAGAAAGACTGAGCATGGAGACTAACCAGCATGAGAAGAGAGACAATCACTTAACAAACAGAACACCAATTAATAAGAACTCTGTAAGTTCCAGCCAATGAACTGTGAGTTCTTTGTTGGCCGAAATGTACGAACAGTATAAAGTTTTGATGACTGGGGTCAGCCCTTGGTGGGTTCCCACCTAGCTCCTCACTTTGGCTGTGCAGATTGGACTGTGCTCCAGGCAGAGAGCCTGAGCTCAGGACAGCAGTGCTGAATCCCAAGGGATTCTGATGCAGCAGGTGAGTCCTGTGAGTGGCTGCACAGACAGACCCCTATGGCAGCACATCCAGGGTGTGCACACTGAGCAGCACCAAGGACAAAGCTGTCACTGCACACACACGAGACTGTGTCGGAGAAAAACTCCCACAGCAGCATCTGCCAAAGTCATTCCTAGTGATCAGAATACATACCGAGAGCAACCTGTAAGATGCTCAACATCCTACCCAATCTGAGAGGATAACTGGCTCGTTCGACCAAAAAAAATAACATTACTCTAGGTTTGGAGTACCTCAAAGTGCAATTGTTTTCATACAGAAACAGTCTGTAGTTCCACACACTATGCAATGTTTCACAGAACAAAACCTCACAAACAACAGCACTTTTTAAAGGGATTTTAAAAGCAGATTATTTTGCTTTCTTGTCAGTGAAGTCAACAACAACAAAATTAAGACAATACAAGAGCTAGAAAAGAATCAACTAAAACTCTGTCTTCACTTTTTATGAAGAAAAAGAGTTAGAAAGAATTCAATTTTCAAGCAATTAGCCCTAAAATCGCAAAGTCTTTCTATTCAGAAACTACTAATATGAATAACTGCCAGGTTGCAATATACCATTTTCAACAGTAAACACTGCATGCACATTTTTTTAAATGGAAAATATGATTTAGCCTCACCAAGATTCAACCCACATAAAAATAACCTGCATAAAGAATAAACTTCAGTTTACTGGATTTAGTTGTAATGAAATTATTTTTCCCCCCTTCTCTCCTTGCCTTCACAATCTCAAATGGCTACAATTTTAGGAAGGCTTTCAATAAAAATTAAATAATTGCAGTCTTAAATATTTTATACACTCTTCTTTAGCATTTCAGGAATGCAAAAGAAACTTCATATACAAAGGGTAACAGAGGCTCAAACAGGTAATAGTTGTCGTATAACTCAGACATCTCAAAACTGAACCAAGGAGTGTCACCTTCTATTAAAAGCAGCACTATTTTTAAGTGAGATATAGCTATACACTTCCTCATTTTAAATTTTTTCTTATTCCATAATTTTACAGAAAATTCAATTCATCTTTAGAAAGACTTAAATAGACTCAACCCAGAGAAAGTGATTTCAATGAACCCTCAATTCTGAGCAACACTTACTACCAATGAACTAAAGGGTCTAATGAGAGAATGGCTTATTAATAGTAACGATTCAAATTTCATCTGAGAAGGTTACAGGGAACTCTTTAAACCAAACTGTTGCTATGTCACCACACCAGGCCTTGATGCTAACCACCCCTTGCACTGCTCTGCTCAGCCAGTCACTCTGTGGAGTGTGGAGACAAACTATTCACCTAATCTGTACCTGCACTGGAGGAGCTGAAATCAAACCACAACAGCTTAAATTCTCAAACCATCAGCAGAACACTTAACTGACACCTGCAGTCAGATATGTTGCTGACTGCACTGGAGACAGGTAAGGGTTTTATCATCTTCTGTCAGAATTTATCATATCTCTCCCTCCTCTCAACAATTAACACAACTACACGTCTTCACTTCTTAATTCCTCCTGCCAAAAGTTCTCTGCATTAGAAGGGAAAGTACCAGAAGAGTTTAACCCAGACCATTTGATAGAGCAGCATTAAGAAGTGACACATTAATTAGAAATTCAAGCAAAATGGGACAAAACAAGCAGCTGAAAACAGCAACGTCTCAAACCAGCTCAGCCCCAGCCAGAACACCAACCTGGCGTGGCCCAGGACAGACAACCTGTCAAAGGCATGTTTGCTCCTGCTCTGGCAGCTCCAAACCAAGCAAATCAGCACACTGCATAGCTGCTAAACACTCAATTCATTAGCTCCTG